CTGTATCATAAAGTCTGTTATTGAGTCAACTGGCGTGGTTTCGATTCCCCGTATGTACGTGACAAGGAGTAGGGTCATCTGTCCAATCTCGTGGGTTTTCTCCGGTCCATACGCTCAAGCGAATTATTGAAATAAAATTGAACCATATGTTAGTCCCGAAATGACCTTGTCTCTCTCTCACTCTCTCTCTCTCACTCTCTCTCTCTCTCTCTCTCTCTCTCTCTCTCTCTCTCTCCCCGCCACGACCCTGTTAATAACCCCACAACCTTATAATTTAGAATAGGTAAAATATTTAGCCATCAATCGAAAGGGATGTATAACTCAATTCCAAACGTTGACAGTTCGAGCTTCATTCGAGTCTTTTGAATCGTCAAATGTATCAATGATCTGTCTGTATCTAATCACCAGCTGTCTATTGTGTTATATTAAGACCGTGTAAGTGTACGGTCGAGTTATTCTTCTGATTTAAGTAGATTTATACTTTTATATTAAGATGAAATCCGTAAGCCACCCGTTGCAGTTCCGATTGTATATCTTATTTCTTGCTGGTGATTCCTCGAATGGATTTTGAACCCAAGGTTATCTTAAACATACAGGAATTTGGCTTCCAAAATTCAGACCCAAACCGTCGTTCATGTTAGCTACATAATACAGCACAAAACATCTGAGATCACCCGAGAACACTGGAGATATTATTTAGATTATTGTTAAACATACATTATGCAAGAGCTAAATCTACCTTTAGGCTTCAGGTGTTATAGAAATTATAAATTAGATCTTTATTTACGTAAAAATCAACTCTGTAAACCCACGAATGGCTTGGATACAGTTTGGATTTAAACACTCGTCCATTTAAAATTAATTAAATAAGTCGCTGATGTCACTACCGGAAACTGATAATGAAAGGCCTGCGAAGCGAGGCTACCATAGCCATTGAGAATGTTACCTTGATAATCGAGAATATGTGGGTGGAGTTATCGTATGTCAATCAAACGATCTCCAATTCTCATAGAAGGTGCAGACACAATTGATGCCTATTTCTAGTCCAAACTTCCAACAGTGACAATTCCGTTTAGAACAAGAGTAATTGGACTGAAATTTTCAACATTTTCTATTTTTATCATCTATTTTTGAATTATTATAGCAAGAATGGCCAGCTCGTTATAAAACTAATGTATCTTTAATATTCAGTAGATCTGAAAGTCTTTAATATCGAAACTAGCGATTAATAGTGCACGACTACCGATTTAGTTATGTATAACAAATCACCCTGCCTAGACCATTGATGATCATTCTGCTATTGAACGCCATGCGGATGAAGGTAGCGACAACTACCGTAATGGACGCTCGCTTTCCGTTCACATCTAACATTACTAACCGTATCACAGTGGCGATGTTTGAGATTCATTTCAAACTTACAAGATGTCTGGCAAAGTAATAGCCGTTCTGTATTTACAAAAACATTGATACGGTGTCCCCGAGAAGTCTGTATTGTGTTTAATTAAGAAACTTTATTGGCCTGCTGTTATTGCGACAAAAGTGCTTTTATAGCTTCCGATGATTTAAATAATTCGCTTCCTATGACTCGATAAATTCGCTTCCTATGTTAGCTATATTTATAGCTGAAGATTAATATATAGTCGATGGCAGTGTACCTTAGATTCTGGAAGGTTAATTCCAATCTGCCTGAGCGTTATGTTATTAAGACTAAGTAAGTTAATGCCCATTGCATTATTACCACAGAAGTAATTTTATAGCCACACAGAATTTGATTAATTCACTCGTTATTCTACTCAAGGATATTTTCAATACATGATGTACCAGGCTCTATTTTGATGACCACTACATTATTCTAAAAAAAGATATTTTGGTGGACAAGCCCACGATTTAAAATTAGGTATGCGCTGTAAAAAATGGTATTTTAGTGTCGTTGGGTGCATATTAATGGGGAATTAGACAAGTAGCTTAACGTCTAATTAAAGGCTTATTAAGTCAGATTAGATAAATAGCTGACAGTTCTCGATACAATAGTTAACAAATAGATAATGAAAAGAGAACATGTTGAAGATTTCGGTTAATATCTGAACAGAGATATTGGCGATTCAGCTTTAGTCTAGCCTCGATTGTCATTACGAACTTTGGTACGATAATAAACAAAGTCTGAATTATCCATTTTTAAGTTAAATTATCCATCAAAAATGTATTCAAATCCACTAAATATCGCAGGCTAACGATGGCATCGAGAGTTGATTATGGAGAGAGAGAGAGAGAGAGAGAGAGAGAGAGAGAGAGATGGGGTTTAACGTCCACTCGATACAGACTAGGTCATTTCGGGACTAACATATGGTATTAATTTTATTTCAATAATTCGCTTGTGCGAAGGGGGCTTTAGCAGTGGGAGGAAACCGGAGGACCCGGAGAAAACCCACGAGGTTGAACAGGCGACCCTACTCCTTGTCACGTACAACCGGGGATTCGAAACCACGCCAGTTGACTCAATGACAGGCCTTATGATACAGGGCGCACGTGCTAACCATTCGGCCATCCAATCCCCAGGTGTTTATGGTCTAGATAAGTTAATTAATGTCTAATTAAACATGCATTATGCAAGAGCAAAATCTGCTTATTACAAGTCTTTCTTTAGACCTGAAATGTTATCTAAATTATCAATTAGTCATTTATTAACTTATCCAGACAATAATAAACTCTCGATTTCAAGGCTAGCCTCCGATGTTGGCTGGATTAGATTCCTATATGCCGCTTAACGGCCATTGATAATTAAAAGAAAACAGTGAATAATCGAGACTAAGCTCTTGCATAATGTACGTTTAAATAGACAATTTGAGTGCATGTATTTTAGAGGTGATTAAGTCGTGGATACATTTGATATTGTCCGAAAAATGCAAATGGCAGAGACGTTGAGCCATTTTATAAACATGGGCTAGTATTTATTGTAATTGTATAGATGTAGTGGTCCATTGCCACAATCAGTGGATACAATAGAACTTTATATTCAGCAGACACAGATTGTTAAAGAGATAGCCTCTCATTACGTCTCTCTGTTGAATTATCTTGCCACTCATAAATTTATCGTGTTACTCCTCATATAACTCAAGTAGAAATCAGTTTTATGGATGTCATAAACCGAATTTCAGGATTATGTTGCTCGATTTCTGGTCTGGATTATTATCGATATGAACAGCGATACGCATTGTAAACTATAAAATTTTAAGCCATCTTCTCCGGCTTCAGCTTACAACTGATTCCATCACTTAGTTCAATTTAAAGCAATCTCCATTCAACTTGAATATAAAACAGATTGCAATATTTTCAAGAAAGTAAATTCTATGTTTTGCAATGGCATATATTTTCGAGAAAAAGCATGTCTGAGAACCAGAAATCCAACAGCCACAGGTGCTATTTTAGTTTCTTAATTGCGTATTCTTTTATTTTGCATGTTGTAATACTGACATATTTCTTTGATAACGACGTGGAGCCACGGTGGCTAGGTGGTTAAGACGCTCGCTCGCTAGCCTGGAGGTCGGGTGTTCCATCCCTGCATTGGCCGAGAAAGTTCATCTGGATTTTGCGACGTGGTTTCCCCTTGTCAGTGGTGCAGAACGGAGGACCTGACAAGGACAGCTGTCTAGTCATTCGGATGAGACGAAAAACCGAGGTCCCGTGTATACATTGGAATGCACGTAAAAGATCCCTTGGCAGATGGAATTCGATATAAGAGTAGGCGATAGTGCCGCTGCCCGGGCAGAATTTCCCTCATAGCACACTGTATGTTAAGGCCAACTCAATTTTTGTCAAGGTCGCGGAGATGTAAATAAGGTTAGGGCACGTGATTGTTGGCGCGATTGTAGATTAGGTTAGGGTTAGGGTTGGGATTAGCGCTAGCCCCGTTTACATCTCGTGACCGTTGACCAAACTTGAAATATATCTAAACGTCTGCCATTGGGTTAAGTAGGGTGATTTCGGCTTGTAGGTGATTTCCGGGTCCGCTGGTATTCTTCCACTACGCGCAAGAGACAAATTGAGATCAAATTGAATCATATGTTAGTCCAAAAACGACTTAGTTTATTTTAAGTGGAGGTTAAACCCCATTTCTCCCTCTATTGTGGTTCATTATAGGAATGACTGGACCTGATGAGTTAACAGTTATGGTCTGCTATATCACCACTGTAGTTCGAAGCGGACGTAAATACCCTATTTAATAAAGAATATTTTTAAGTTGATTATGTACCTACTTCTCAGATGGGCCTATCAGTTAATGACGTTGTTAAACGTGAAAAAAGCGCTAAGATCATACATGTAAGCCTAAACCATTTGGTTGCGACACAGCTTTCCTAAAACATACAAAAATCCTCCAAAAATATACATCTACATCAGATATTTGAATTATTCATCGATTTCTTGAGTGAAGTGGGCCGGTATACCTGACCACAATGTCTGACCCACTCGGCAGTGATACATTCGTTACCTGTAACACAGATAAAACATCTACACGTTAAACTCGTACTAATCATAGTGGGTGGGAATACCTGACCAAAATACCTGAACCACTCGCAGGTAAAGAAGGTGTTTAACTCGGTGACAATCAATGGGACAGCGTGGATTACATTTAGGTGTTTAATTAGCCATTGTTCAGACTGTGATTATAATTTTGTGGATGACTTCGGGACGTTCCGGACTGACAAACGAGCACCGCCCATGGAGTGGTTATATTAGGTATATCCCTCCCAACCTGATATCGCCATTCAAGTGGTCTTTCTCTTTGGGTATTAGTTAAACAAACCGCAGCAAATACGGAAGGGGGTACGTATTCTGAATGCTAATAATGCAAATGTTATTCTTTTATAATTTATGTTCACTTACATTCTTTGTTGCAATTACCACTTGCTCTGATGTTTTGGACTCGCATGTATATTTGTTGCATGTTCATTTTAAATCTTTGTTGATTTTTATGCTAATACATGTATTCTATGTATTTCCAGGCTTTGGAGAAGAAGCGGGTCGCCAAAATCCTCAATAAACCTCCCGGAGCACGACTTCCACGGGAGAGATTCGAACTGCAGCAAAGACATACCTGCTAGTTCCTTACAGGCTCACAGTTCTAAGAAAAGACTCATCGGTTCATGTCATTGTGATTTGTGCGTTTACGGACGCTCCTCGCTGAACCGACAGCACCAAAATAAGACTTGCGTCAACGGCATTTGTCACGTGACTCCGAGAAGACGAAAACATGGTGACCTCCGTTCTTGCTGCCTGTTTAACAGTTATTAGAACCGCGAGGAACACTATATACTTGGGTAGAAGCTTCTGTATACGTTATGAGTATAAATGTGCATTTCAACAAGAATAACCTAGGCCCCATCTGTTCGAGAAACTTTAAATGTGTTCATTTACAGAAGAGGTTCCAGCTTTAAACTGTGTTTTTATTCCAACAATGAAGAACGGAGGTCCTGATTTTTCAATCACGTGCTGCTTTTTACTCGTGCATAAAGTGTACATTACTTTGCATATAACGTTTATCAAAACTTGCTAGACTTATCTATACAGAAAACGTACTTTATTAGTTATGCGAGGTGTTATGGAGTGTTCTAAAACTAAAAGCATGTCGTTCGTGTCAAGCAAACTACATCTAGACAAGTCAATCGCTAAACAGATCTTCAATAAATGTGTTCAGACTTACGGCACTTCCCTTGGTCTTCAGGATGAACGGACAAGATGTTGGAGAGTGTTAACCATGTTCTGTGTGACACAGATCTTAATGATAAGACACTAAAACTGCTCAATATGTAAATATGTGCATAACTCATATTAATTGTTATATATATTATATATTCGATCATTTGAACTGACGGTATTAGGTTCTATGTTAAAAGTGCAATTAGAACCACTGCCGATCGTGGTGTGAATTATTGTACTTTCACTTGTATATTACAAGATTTACAAACACACCATTCCCTCTGTTACTTGGTCAAACATGTCAGAAAACGTTTGAAATGTTTGGCCATGTTTTCACATGTTAAGGACGTTTAGTTTATTTCTCAATAAATTGATAACTTAACCTCAATACATCAGGCCATTCATAACAGACGACATCAACCAGCATGTGATCAGAACGTAATGAATGGTACGTGTTTTGCTCCGCATTGATCCACAAGGGGTTAGCAGATATTTCATTCATTTGGTTGTTAAATCGAAAACTCCTCTAAGTTGTTCTGTATATGTAAAACTGACAATTATTCTGTCTGGAAAGCTCGGCTGGATTCCGTGCTCATGGCTAGAACAACACGTACACGATGAATAACCTCCAAGTAGGTATTTCAAAATTGTCATTTCTATAAGACAGTAGACTACAAGAGAGTCGCGTTGACAGTTGTAATTTGTGTTAGTTGCTGAAAACGGAACTTCATTCGTGCTGCATCTACTTATTGGCTTCTGTTTTATTCTCATGACACTAGGCTCTGTTCTGGGCAATAACCTATTAAATTCAACATTAAATATACATTATCTTATCAATTTCGATGTGTCAAATTAGAAAGCGAATGTCATGTAATCTTTGAGTGCCATTTAGCGTCCGGGAAACACATTAACAGAACACAGTTTTTATGGGATACAATCACTGGTTTATTCTAAAAGCACGACGTTTCGACAAGTATCCTCTTATCGTTATCAAGCACAATGCCATTTAGTAAACTTGGGGTCAATATATATGAAATTCATAGTGAAACCATGTCATTGTACTTGATGACAATAATAGGATACTTGTCAAAACCTCGTATCCAATAAAAACTGTGTTCTGTGAGTGAAATGTAGATAACATTAGCTGAACATCGGGTCCACTCTTCTTTGAATCCCTTGCTTTTAAAATCTTCCTATAAAATCTGTATTGTACTGGTGATAGCTGATTACTGCTAACAAAGAATAATTTTAATCAGTAGATAGGTCAGGGTTATTTGTAATTGGTCTATAAAATGTGCAAGGTGTGCTATAAAAACACCTACAAAAGCTGCTCAAATTGTGCAAGGTGAGTTATAAAAACACCTACAAAAGCTGCTCAAATTATTATTATCTCAATAATAAATAAAATATGAATCATTCACTCATACATTCTACCTCCACTCAAGTAATCAACAATGGCCAACTCCAAACCTAATATTCATCACCAGATCATTAATAATAATATATAGAGTACAAACAGGGCGAGAAAATGTGAGGGACACGCATCTGTTTTCGCAGATATGAACTCTAATTGGAACTAAATGTATATAGTAAGTACAGGGCGAGAAAATGTAAACAGTAAATAAATGGAATTGCTATGGGTTTTGAACTCGCACCTGTTTTGGCAGATATGAACTCTAATTAGAATTAAATTACAATTTCATTGTAGTTTAATTGTTTTGATTTTACGCTAACTTGTAATCTAAATACTTTCTGCCATCAGAAATATGGTTAAATAAGTACCATTCACATTGTAAAGTTCAAATATTTTCAAAAATAACTACGCGATATTTTGTGCTGTATACAATTTATTGGAAGGACAATAATTGTCGTTTTCGAGAAATCGGGCATCAGAAAATAAATCCATTAGTTGCTACCCACATACTTGTCAACAGAGAAAGTCACGTGGATAATTTTAATACGTCATCGTAGACTCGATTGTCTACCTAGCGAAAATTAGTGGATATTGCAACTGGTTGACGAAATCTAAAGTAGGGAACTTTGATCCCAATTATTCCAACACGTTTCTCACCTCTCTATATTATATCTACTTAAAGAGAATCGGTTTCAGCCGAGTTATTTTCCCCTGAGTTAGAAATCGGAATCAGACCAGTTATTTGATAATCTCGCTTACGAACATGGACATAACAGGCCTAAGATATTACACTTAGTCATAGCTCGATTTTATTTTTGAAATATTTTCCGCGTTACAGGCGCTTGTGGTCGTAAGCGACCCCATTTATTAACTCGCAACAGAGAATAAATAATGATATACTATTTAGAATTTTATTGTTATGATTCAATTAGTATTATAATAAACTTTTTAGTATTGATTTCTAGAACTGAATTTCAGCTCAACTGAATGCATTGAATAATGGTTCGGGTATAAATATATAAATTATAGTCTTGAATATAATTTAATATAAAATGTAAATACACGAAATTCATATTTTTTTCTAATTTGCATAAAGCTGTTATGATAGAAGACTAGTTGTTGTTTTTGTTAAACTGGATAATTTAAAGTGATATCGGTGTATAAATATTTGAATTATAATGTCGTAAATTTAGACAAACGACGCCTTTCAGTGGCATCTATTATACATATTATTCCATGTTCTTCATAGTATAAATATAAATAATTTATTTATGGCTTGATGATGTAGGGACTTTAAAACAGAGCAATTGAAAAAAAGAAGAAAATTAAAACCAAAAACGAACGCATAACAAAAAAACAAAAAAAAAAAACGGAATGCGTAAATATATAAATAATTATATACGTTAAATATTTAATAAGCAAAAATATGTCCTTTAATACTACCTTCTAGACTATTGGTTTTTTTTAAATTACAAAACGGCCTGTATTTAATATTGTGTCGAGGACGAAACTTGTGATATTGCCGGATAACGAATGGGCTGACTATCTAATTTTACAAACTTAATTGCCAACGGGTAAACCCCTATGCTTATTTTTTTGTGAAAAATATAATATTATTAAAATCAATAATGCTCAAATTTTAACGTTCTACATTTATTGTACGACCATCCTTCCTATCTAATTCAAGTTAAATCTGACCATAAAAACAAATCCAGCCATCTGCCTTGAAAAATATTTAATTCCATGATCCATTTGTATTTATTGTATTATACGGTAGTTATTGTATTCATACGCACATACGTATCGTAAAGCAAGAATTTGTTTGCGCTATGAAGATACTGTGAATGGGTGAAGTGATTAGGCTATATCCGTTGTCCATAATATATTGGCTACCTAATTGTCCACTTTACCTAATATCCGGACATGCAATTACAGCTGATGTATCTTATGTCTACGCGTGATAAGAATTAGACTGGAATAGAGCTGTGCGCATAAAATAGAATCAAAATATCTAACCGATATTCAGTGGTGGAACCAGGCATATGATTATGACGAGATAGAACTTCTATATCAGAGCGGCATGACACATGCGTGACTTCTGTCAATCTGATTACAACACAGATCCTATTTCGTTTCGTTTTTTATAGTTCAAAATTTCGTATGACTTCTGTACTACACTAGGATCTGGAAGAATTATTTTATAACCCGCGTTCTGGATGATGTGAGGAATTAACCAATGAATTAACGGTCTGTAACTGCTAGGTTATGGCGTTAACCAAATGTCTGACGTCATAAGACCGCTTGTATGACCTCTGACACTACCTTCCACTACAGCCGGTCAGATTTTCATGTAGTGTTAGCCATCGAAAGTATAAAAAACGAAACGAAATATAGATGTGTATTTTAATCAGATTGGGCTTCGGTCCAATCGCTCTTTATTAGCATTGTCAAGAAAGCAAATCAAATCCTGCTTTACAATACACAGAATTTGAAATGATAATTACATTTCTGGTGCCATATACCCGTGCATTGGTATTATATATTTTCATATAAAACAAGCCTTAAAATACAATAAAATACAGGTATTCTTCAAAGTCTCTTACCTATATTTTGCTACTGTAAATATTGTTTGACAAATTGACCGGTTTGGGGTTTCAAGCAACTTGAAAAATCGCTGTATGGACTTTACAGCGGTTAGATTAGTTTCTTGAACAAATAACTTATTTAAATAATTTCGCTCGTTTTTTATATAGATAAATGTTATTATTACTGTATCATGTTTCATGCGTTATGTTTTGTAATGTTAATATAATTCAATCATTGTGTATATTATTGCATCATTGGACGCTTCTTAATTAAATTGTTCTGGAAACTGTTCATGCTTTTTGTTAGTGGTGTTATATTGTCAAAATAACTGAATGGCGCGAGATAGATGCCGCGTTGTCTCTAATAATTAGCTGTTCCATTTAGCAGTTTAAAAATAGACCAGCTAATGGACAGTGTGCTTTCTGATTAACCGATATACTTCTGCAAGTAAGGGGGTCGCGGTGGCTAACTGGGTAAGACTTCGATCCCAGCATTGGCCGAGAAAGTTCATCCAGATTTTCCGGCGTGGTTCCCCGTTGTCCGCGATGCTGTCTAGTCATCGTATGGGACATAAAACCGAAGTCCCGTTTACACATTGGCGTGCACGTAAAAGACCCCTTGACAGTTGGAGTTCGATATAAGAGTAGACCGTAGTGTTGCTGTTTGAGCAAATTTTCCCCCTTCGCTCACTGTTAATCCTCCTTTCCGTATATTAATACAATTTCTTTAATGACATCTGCTAACGATATCTGATTTCTTATGAATTGTATGTAAAGTCAAGGTCGCTGATTGATAAGCTGTATCAGATATAGAGAAAGGGATATATCTACCGTGGAGGCCTCCAGGTGTAACATGGCAGTAGATAAACCTATATATGATTATGTATATATGAAAATTAAAATACTGCGGAAAGAAACACCGTATTATGCGGCTAGCGCTTACAGTTCAGCCCCCCCCCCTAATTTGGCTGCAATACTCTTATGCACCCACATGTAATGAAATGAAATGAAATGGGGTTTAACGTCCTACTGTTCTGCTCCTATACTGGGCTAATGAAGACGGGCATACGTCATACAGTGTGCTGAGGGAAATTTTGCCCGGGCAGCGGCACTATCGCCTACTCTTATATCGAATTCCAACTGCCAGGGGATCTTTTACGTGCATTCCAATATATACACGGGACCTCGTTTTTTCGTCTCATCCGAAGGACTAGACAGCTGTCCTTGTCAGGCCCTCCGTCCTGCATTACTGAAAGGGGGAACCACGCCGGAAAATCTGAATGAACTTTCTCGGCCAATACAGGGATCGAACACCCGACCTCAAGGCTAGCGAGCCAGAGTCTTACCCACTTAGACACGTGATCCCCGCTTTCAGTTCACCCCCCCCCCCCAAGACACCCCTAATTTGACTGCAATACTCTTATACAACCACATGGAAATTAAAGTTAAGAGGTGATTGACTTTCAATTTGCCCAGTGTTTAAGGTCATGAGTAGAAGAATCCTATTGATTTTCAATAATTACTACCAGAGTTATGGCCCTTGATCACTTTGACAATTTTGTGAATGCTCTAGAGGCTAAAGTTATAATCCGATTGACTCTAAATTTATAGACACTGCTAAAGGTTATATCCCTACTTACAGTTCCTTAAAAATAACGGAATCCATGAAAAAGGGACAAAGTTACAACAGACGTTGGAAATCTGCTTCCAAACTACTATCAGCCTCAGAAGGCCAGTTTAATAGGAAGTGGGATGAAGCCTCTAATGCGTCAGCGTAATGATGGAAAATAACGAAGAGCAAGACAAACTCACACCTGATTGATCAGAACAGCCACCAAACAGTGATCATGAGGCATGTGGCCTTGGTATAGATTTTGAGGTGGATATCGACAATGATTCTTTCACTGGCATTGATAAGGAAGAACGTTCTCTGAAAGATGAGTTGGTTTTGTGGACGAACGTGGGTGCATTGCTTGCGGTTCTAAATGCCCATAAACATGATGACCTTCCATTAACAGCCCACTGGTGTTAATAGAATTTAATACAGAGCATTACATACATGATACTTTGACGCCCCAGAAATTACGTAAAAGATCCCTTGACAGTTGGAATCCGATATAAGAGTAGGCCGTAGTGCCGCTGTCCAGGCAAATTTTCCCTCATAGCACACTGTATGGCGTTCTCCCGTCTTCATTAGCCCAGTCAGAGCCGAACACTAGGACGTTAAACCCCATTTCATTTCACAACAATAGTCACAGGGACATGGAGACTGACTTGTGTTCACAATATATAATTATTAGTAAATACAAGAGAACAAAACGCTAAACAAAACCGACCAGACACCCTGCGGATAAGACAAAGTATATAGACATTACAAGACAAAAACAACAAATATCAGATGAAGTGAATGCATCCGGGGTCCAGCCGTGAGCGTCTAATTCCGTGTACTTTTATGTATTAATAGCTAAATAGAAATGCCATATATCCAAGATTTTCAGAATATTCCGTTCAAATGGCAACTTTAATTAAAGATACATTATGGGGGATTAGATAAAGAGCTGGCAGTTCCCACTATAATACTTAAAAACTAGATACTATAAAGGGAATTTGCTGAAAATTTCAGTCAAATTGATCCACTATGAACCGAGATTTTAATTTTCGGCCTGGTCTCGATCATCATTACTAAAGTCGGTATATAAAACATAGTCTCGATTATCCATTTAGTAATTAAATTATGAATGAAAGTCGAACAGCAAATCGCAACCTAATCCAATAAACATCACAGACTAGCGATGCCATCGAGGGTTAATTGTGGTCTGGATAAGTTAATCAATGTCTAATTAATAATTTAGATAACATTTCAAGCCTAAAGAAAGACCTACAATAGACAGATTTAGCTCTTGCATAATGCCTGTTTAAGGGAAATGGACAAATTTGTTGTTTTAGCGTTGAATGATACATTATCGGTGTGTTTATGATTAATTTCTTTCTAATAACTCGGTATTGTTATTTAATATAAATATGTAAAACCCAGGAGGAAAAATGGGGATGGTGATTTGCAATACCAAAACAAAACAATAATGAATCATGTCTAACGACCGAGAAAAATCGGTTATAATGACTAAGAAGTATACAATACATCTTGTATTCTGGTTTCCTAGATTTTAATTGGTTGGAATGTCAAGTTTGGCGTTTTTTGTCTGACTGTCAACAAATAAAACAGTCAACTAATTTATGTAATCCACATAAACACAATTTAAAACAAAATGTTGAAATGAAAATATAGTTATGAACCTTACATTTCTGTCAATCAATGAAATGGAGTTCAACGTCTTGCTTCTCTGAATCCCCGGTTGTACGTGACAAGGAGTAGGGTCGCCTGTCCAACCTCGTGGGTTTTCTCCGGGTCCTCCGGTTTCCTCCCACTGCTAAAGACCCCTACGCACAAGCGAACTATTGAAATAAAATTGAACCATGTATTAGTCCCGAAATTACCTGGTCTGTGTCGAGTCGCCGTTAAACACCAGCTCTCTCTCTCTCTTTCTCTCTCTCTCAAAAGACGGGCATATTATGCTAGACAGTGTTCTATTTAATTCCAACAATCTAGGGATCTTTAACGTGCATTCCAACGTCTGCACAGGGTCCCTCAGCACTGTCGTGACTTGCCCTCATCTGTAACAAGGTGGGACCTCGTCGGAATTTTTCGAGATCTGATTAGCGAACTGACGCCTTATACACTGAGCCACGACGGCTTCTATGTATGGAGGTTAAGTTATAGCTGTTTGTTGAATTTGATGCGTCAAGGGTCGACCACACTACGTAGAGTAATTGACAGCCACTGTCTAGGTTGGATTACTCTGACAATTCCTGTCTGGCGTGAATTCGATTTTTTAAAATTGCAATGGGCCGAATCCTGGTCTTGATCAAGTACTTCCCCTTCAATGAATACCACACAAATGAGAATAAGTCCGGGTCTGGAATATGTAAGTCAGGTTCAAAGTTGTATTAACGTAATTAATTTACTTGTGAGGACATGTATCTTGATGAAGTGGTCCGTGCATTTGTGATAATATATTGTTTCTTTCATCGCTCGTGTTACGTAACAGTCGGGGAGGGAGGGGGGGCGTGATTAACGTCCATGGTTCAATGTTATTTCAATAATTCGCTTATGCGTAGGGGTCTTTAGCAGTGGAGGAAATTTGACAGGCGATCCTATTCCTGGTCACGTACAAACAAGGAATCGAAATCACGTCACGTGACTCAATGACTGACCTTATGACCCAACGCACACGCGTTAAACATCCGGTCACCCAAGTAACTATTTAGTATTGCTAAAATCGAATGCTGATTGTACTGTTCGAATATTTTAAGGTATTCGAATATTCGATTCAAAATTTCGTTGGCCGTTTTGGGTGCAGTTTTAGATGTTATAACTATCAATCTTTCAAATTAATATTTCCATTGTTATGGTTGTTTATTTTTGAACTGGGCCAGACAATGACAGCTGTCTAGGGGTTCGAATGGGGCGAAAAACGTAAAGATCTATTGCAAGAGTAGGCCTTAGCGTCGCTGTCCGGGCAAAAGTCCACCCATAGCACACTGTATGGTGTATGCCCGTCTTCATTAGCCCAGTCGGAGAAGAATAGTAGGACGTTAAACCCCATTTCATTTCATCTTCATTTCATTATTTTTGAACATTCATTGATTTAAAGGAGCTAAGTCTCTCACACAATATTTTTCATAATATTTGAAAAACACGAATTAGAATTCAACATTGATCAATTTCAATCAATATTGATGTTGTTATCTTGCAGTGGAACTATAGAATCCTAATATCCAATATTTAAGACACAATTAACATTTTATAATCAGTACACGACTCGTGTACCACATGGTTCTTGTGCCTCTCTGTAAAATGACTGGTTGGGATCAATTGGGAAGCATGTTTTTTTTGTTGAGAACAATAACTTGTCTATGATCCGTAGTCACACCACTCTTTGTGTTTGGCGCAATATAGCCTGGTTGGAGCTGACGTGCCATAAAACCACTTTTTTTTTCATTTGCTGTGCTTTGGTCATGGTAATCTATCCAAATCTATAGTTTATTACCATTTAAGGCGCTCGAGCTGCTTAGAATCGTCATTTAGAATCTTCTAGAAATCTGTGAAATAAGTGGACGGTTCTGGAGGGTTCTTGAAACAGTTGGGAAACGCAAAGTTTGCCGTAAGTTTCTCAAGAGGCGTGCTGGACGTATAAGACAACCGCCAACCCTGCTGCAGAAAACGGAAATA